TCTATTTAAATCATTCACCGGTTAAGCTTATTATTATTCAACTATATTTCAGTAGGCGGCGATGTGCAATAAAATTGCAACGATATAACAATAATATTGAAAAAACCGTGAACGAATTGAAAATCGAGGAGTTGTTATCGATGGGTATAGCACACGATAGAGGTCAAGCAATTAATGCATTGCAAGATTGCCGTTGGGATCTTAATGCAGCAGCAGCAGCATTAATATCTTGACATATTACTTATTTACAAAATACGGTTGACTTCAGTAAGAATGTTATTAGAAGTTTTAGGACTGATTTTAGAATTTTTTTTGTCTGTAAACTGAAGTTTATTCATGAAATTATATGGTGTTTTGAAGAGCTTTCAATAGATGGTCATATATTTACCGTACACCTATGTCAAATAACTTTTTTAGATCTGTGCTGTTTTTTTAATCCCTCAATACTGTATATCTTACTCTTTGTTTGTTGCATAGTGTATGTCACCATTCGCAATTTGAGGGATCTTAGTTCCTTCATTTTTACCTGACTAACTTCCGCTTTATTTAAGTTTTTATTTCAGAAAATTCAAAGTTTTTGGAATTATATTTTTAAACAGATTATGCATATCAGTTTTCATCATTGGTGAATAGCTTATTCACCTTATTTAGCATTCAGCACACGGTAGAACTCGATTCAGGACACTACCTACAGAAAGGTATTTTTGATGAACTGCGGAAACCCTTACAAAAGGAATCGAAGGACAACAAAGATTTCTATCAGCTTAATAAGATCAGCATTACTTCATTAGCCTTCAAGTTTCATGAAGACCCTTATCATATTTTCGGTTCTTATTGATTCAAGTTGTCCGAGATCATTTGAGTATAATTTGCTTTTCAATTTTCATCTTGTTTTACGCTTAACTATTTTTTGTTTTATAATTTAAGTAAGCTTTTTACGTGTATTTCTCATTACTTATCGTTTATTATTTTTATAACTTATCTGCTACTTTTGCTAGATAATTGTAATAGGCAAATAATATAGTTTGATCTTTAAGTTGCATATCTCTCGCTCTTCCTTTGTCTTTCACATTATGAAATCATAGAATTTCGGGTGAAGAATGAATAACGAAGTATGATGAATTTTAGTAATCTGTGTTTACATTTCCGTAATCTATTAAATTTAGATTTCGGGAGTTGTTTGTTTTTCTAACCTTTGAAGAAATTTAGTGGTATTCGATGAAAATGTACTATAAATTGTGCTAGGCGTATATTTCAACGCAGTGGATACATTTTGTCGATATCAGGTTCTTATTAATCTCGCTTGCCGACAGTGAGTTTAGTTCTGAATGAGATCGTGCACTGATTTTTAATCATTATGGCATGAATTTTTTCACTACTCCATTTGTAAACTTACTTAATCGCCTCTCATTGCTTTATCTTTAATATGTAATGTGTCGAAGTGGTGACCTATGATTTTATTGATTTTATTACTCTTCTTTTCTCCTTTTTTATTATGTTTTATACGCTCCTTAATTTGTTTAAAGTGTATTTGTCAATTAAAGATGGTTGTTCGATTATTTGGTGCGAAGCATCTTCCATAGATCCTTTACAGTCTTGATCGTATAAATTGTTCGATCATTTTTTTTAATATGTCTAAGTAATTTGTATGAAGATGATAAAATTGATAAAATTGCTAAAATGCTGAAATTTTTTTTTAGCATTTTAGCTAAAATTTCGCTAAAATCATTGCTAAAATTGCTAAAATTTTTTCTCCTTGTTAAAATTTTGCTAAATTTTTTCGCTAAAATTTTTGTTAAAATTGCTAAAATTTTTTCTCCTTCGCACGAAGGAAGCAAAGTTAAGTTTTGAGTTTTATTCGAAAGGCAGGAATAAATTTCTCTTCATGTTTTACTAATTCTACTTATAGATAAAATACCGGCATTTTGAATGAAATCGCGTCTTGAAATTTCCGGTTTTATGGTTTAATTTTTCAGAGATACATTTTATTATTCTGACATCGGTTGATTACTACCACCAATATATGTTATCAGAAAACCGTCAATAGGCAAATTGTCCAACTTAGTTTTCATAAAAGGTTCGGTAAACAATGGAAGGGAAAGCTAAAAGTATAGGAAAATATTTAAAAACCAGAAATGCAAGAACATCTGAGAGTAATGATGGTTTTAGGTAAATCTCTGTGAAACCATAATATATAGAAAGAGCAGAAAATCGGAAGATGATAACTGTTGTCGATTTGAACTGCACGATGGGGATCCTTCATTACCAAATATCGTGATATAAAGACAAAAACGATCTGTTCTTATTTCCTAATCATAATGAATGACAGATGGAGAGAAGTTCCAGCGTCTTTTTCTCTTATCAACTTTTTGTCTTTAGGAAACAGAGAAGCTATCATTGTGAATGTATTTTATTTTAGGGCTGGTGGTTTCACTACTTTCTTCTGCGCGGTTTTCACGGAAATTTGTTTAAACTAGTAAAATGAAAGGGGAAAGTAAGGTGGGAAAAATTATTGGGCGGTTTGTTGTTGTTTAAATTGATGCAATTTTACTACATTTGCTCACTTAAAAAAAAAGAAACATTATTAAATATTATATATGTTGATATTAATTGATAAATGAGAAAAAGAAATGGATTGAAACATTGTTGAATAAATATTACCAGAAAGAAATTTTCAGCATAAGTATTAAATTTCAATTATTCATTTTATTTGAAATAGGGACGAATATAATTGTGATGAGAAATGGATATGCCATTTCAACAATTTTTGTTAATTACGACTTGAATATAAAGAAATTAATTAATCAATCTTCTCATACTCTTTTATACAAAAATTACTTCGTTGAACATATTATTAATCGATAGCAAAAAATAGCTCTATATTATTCGGCGTTAATTATTGCTACTGCATCCTTTGGTATTATAGAAATGGAAAAAAAAATTAAATAGTAAAAAATAAAATTTCAAAACATTTCAAAGTTTTTCAGGATATAAACAAAAGCAAGAAGTGACGTAGCAAGATTTGGTAACGACAACTGGTGCTATCAAGTTTCAGACGTCAAAAATGGATCTCGATATGCAAACACCTCTCGAGTCATCAAATATTCTTATTCCTGGTGATAGTAAGAAAGCGGCGGTACCAACGTTAGAATTTCAAACTGTCGGATCAGATATGATTGGCCAGGTAATTTCTTTTTTTTTTTGTATGGCGAAGAAACAGAACGACTGAAATTAAACTATTTTTGCACATGTATGCTTTGAGTTTTCAATTCTGATATACAAACGATGAGCGAAAACTGACAATGTCCTTTCTGAAAAATTATTATTTATAATTGAGCAATTTTATTAAATAATTGTTATCCAAATTGATTTTGCAGTAAGTTCAACAATCAAATTTTTGTTATTTTCGTTTTAAATTTGGATGACATTACTTTAAACACTGTAGGAGCAAAAATTAGGATTTCAAGAATGGATTAATTTGACGTTGGATCGTGAATGTACGCCAGTACTTTATGTTTATTTTGCCGGTATTGTTATACTTGTCGTTATTACTGCCGGTATCATTATTATCGTTGGTTTACAATGTAACTGGAACTTTGTTGCTATGCAATGAAAAGTGAAAAAAAGAAAATTTGCATACCATTTCAATGTATATTTTTAATAAAAAATTTGCAATTTTTTTGTGCTGAATGCAGCAAACACTGTGACAATCGCTAACACCAATAAGTAATTATTAACAGGTAAAATTTGATTACTATGTGAGTAATTTTTAATTAGCAACAAAAATAAAGTGCTAATTTATTGTCAAGCGTCCTTTTTTTTCATGCGCAATATTAGCTTTTACGTTCACGTGTATTCAGCTAATCAGAATTGCATAATTTGACGCATATTTTTTCACTCTCCAATATTTTATCACGGTAAACTATGATAAGTGAATATTATTATGACACAATCATTTATTGTGATAAATTGAATTGTGATAAATCCGAAGCAATCCGGTTTATTACGGGTTCTGTTTAACTGCTTATATCTCTTCAGTTTTACATCTCGACAAATACATTTTTAATAATTTGCTGATTTTGTCGAAATGACACTGTGGTGAAAATTAAATTATGTATCTAAAAAAAAAGAAAAATAGCATTCATGAAAACAAGTAACTGAACTTAATTCACCGAGAGAAC